ACTTAACTGGTGACAACACATTTTATTATTATTATATCTAATATTTAGTTAAGCCAAGCAAGCATATTACAATATATAAAATTTAATGTTAAAAACTTTTACTTAAAAGTTGAAATATAATTTTTATAACAAAATTTTAAATTATTGTTTTTTTTTTGTTTTTTTTCTTAATTTGGTTTGATTATACAAAATCCAAAGAGCTGATTGGATTTTATACAACTGAATAACATCACCTAGAGTAAAAATTAACAACACTTTTATATAAATTACTATATACTATATATTTATTTTTTTATTAAATAATATATAAAATAATTTAAATTAAATTTTAATAAAATTTAATATAAAGTAATAACTATTAGGCCGTACAAACTTAATAAATTGGTTCTCATAACCTGACCGGGTCAATTTTGCAAAATTCTTAAAAAAAATTTTTGACTATATTTACTATCCGGGTGAAGTTTTTTCAGAAGTCTATAAAAAGTTTTATATGCATTTTATATATATAATTTTTGGAAAAATAAAATTAAAAACCGGGTTGCCGGGTCATTTTTCAAATTTTATGTTATGAGAACCAAAAAATTAACTTTGTATGGCCTTAATTTAAAATTAATAATAAAATTTTATTTAGTATTCATTAAAGATAAAATTTACCATAATATAGTTTAATTATTATTATATAATTTCTAAATAATTTTATTACAAATTTTAAAACTAGTATTAGGCTTTAGAGTTAGGGTTTAAGGCTTAAATTAAAATGAAAATTATGCTGAATATTTTTACTTAGTATACCAAATACTTATTGTCATAACCATTTTTGAGAAACAGCATACCTGGTAAATTTTATCTTTGGTAAGCATTAAAATTGTTCTTAATATTAATATTTAAAATTTTATTATAAAATAGCAAACTAATAATTTAAATTAATTGAAATATTACCGTTGCAAGGCAACGGGTTCAGACCTAGTGTCCAATATTATAATGTAACATCTCTGCCGTATAGTGATATATAATTATCTGTAACACCAACTGCCATCACCATGTGATGACCTGCGAGTGCTAACGATGTAACTTGTGCACCCCACCCAAGGAATCCAGTGTTGTAACGAGTCGAAGATAGATTTATTCCTGATGTGTTCCAGACTTTTATTAATTGATTCGAATATACGCTATATTTATTATTTATAAAGATATGATTATAATTAGAAAAAAATATAGTATATAGAGCGAACTAAAAAACTTACCTTGCTATAACATCTGCGTATTGGTGAACATCCATTGCATTCATTTCACAAGAGTTGGGTTCATTAGATATAGTACGTTTTGAACGATTATGTCGAATATCCCATATTTTTATCTCTCCAGATTTACTCCCAGACACTAACTCATGTCCTGCGCCTTTCTGCCATACGACGTTCGTTATAGAATTTTTATGTTCTTTATTAGATAATATCATGGCATCTATAGGTTGGATACGTATGTCAAATATACGAATTGCACCATCTGCAAAACCAGCTACAAAAAGATCACCATCACTAGTAAGACTAGTGATAGAACTTCCTGATCGAGCAGGTATAACCTTTAATTTTATACAAACAAAAAACACATCAGGTTAACATGATTTAACACTTATCAACTTTATCAACTTTACATGCAACTTACGCTAACTGTGATTTCACGTAGTGCATCCCATACTCTGATTACTCGAACATCACCACCGACTAATAAAGTCCCTCGAGATTGCTGCCATTCAGCAATAAGGCCACTTCTTTGGCTGTTCGGTAATATTTCAGGCATTGCACGCCATGATGTCACTATTTCTGACGATGTTGGTGAATCATAGTTACGATACACACGAACGATACCATCACCTATCAAATGAGATAGAAAATATTGAGTTTGCATTTTATTTTAATAACGAACAAAGTATGACAATGTTATTTACTTGAGCCAGTGAGTAACATCGATATTTCGTCTTCATTTATGAATTTTAATGTGGTAATTTTACTTCCTGTTGGGTTTCCGTTTGAAAAAGAATGCATACGGTAATGCTCCTTCCAATTCCATATACTATATTGAAATATAAAGAATTAAGTACGAAAATAAATGAATAATTTTTTAATTATGTTACCTACCTTATATTATCCTTATCATTGGATACAACAAGATGAGGTTCAAATTGATGAAATAATAATTTTGATGGCTCAGATTCATTATTAAATATACCAATCTGTTTATTCCATCGGCTAGAGCCTGCTAACAAATCTGTATCAGAGAATGAAATGATCTCTAACATGGTTAACGAAAATTATTAAACAACAATCACCAGCAACTTCTTTAAGCGGTTGTGTTGATTTAATTATGTTTTCATTTCTTTTGCGACGCCATGACCGCACATTATCATCGATGCTACCCGATTGCTCGGATTCAGCGGGCTATTAATAAAAGGAACAAAACTTACCATTATTTCTTATTGAATTTACCAATAATATATATGATGTTTTACCTTCATTTGTGGCTCTCTGAAATATTCGCAACTCCAATCAAAGAATTTCGATTTTAATGGTAGTATATCATCATATGATGGTTGCTTATTTAATGATGCTCTAAAAGATTCTGTATCTTGTGTACCTTGTTCTTGGAGCACCTGCCGTAATGCGATTGTAACATTCTCAATATGTGAAGATTCTAATAATTGAGTATTTATAGCATCAACAACTGTTGCTGCAAGTTGTGCAACCTCCGCATCTGGGTCTGCTGAAAGATTAAGTAATGCTTTCCAAACACAAGTGTACACGGAGCTAGGTCGACTTTCCCTAGGACGTTGTCGTGTTGCGACAACGCGCCGATGAATTTCTTGCAATTCTTCATAAGCAACACGTATAAAATGTTCTGAATATGCATTCACTATGTAAGAGAGTGCTATAACTAGTTCTCTTCTAACAAGAGGGGAAGCATCATTATTAGCATCAAGGGCATTTATGGCAATGTTATGTTCAATATTGACTATTTGTTCTGTACGCTCCAAGTCACCAATAAAGGTGCCCAGAGCATAGAGAGCTGAAGCACGAACTTCGGGGACAGGATCATTCAAAAGTCCAAAAAGCTTCAAGTGAGCTTGATTCTCGATACCCTCACTCTTAGCATCTGCATAATTTGTCCAATACTGGCCTATACAAAGACATGCCCATTGCCGTAAAAGAGCATCAACATCTCCAATTCGTGCTAAACAAGCCTGTAAAACTAAAGCTTTTTTACATGCAACTTGTCCTTGGTTAAAATTAGTGCAGAAGATTGCCAAAATGAATGCACACATTGCTCGGTGTTCAGCTTCATTCGGAATGTTAAGCATGCTATTTGGAGAAAGTATATTCACAAAATAGTTGTAACCATGTTCCTTTAATAAGTCTTGTTGACATGACCTATCAACTGCCAATATTCTAGCCCATATAAATACTAATGGTGGTTTCAAATCTGCAGCAGGACTTTGTAATAACTTAAGAACGTAAGGAAATATTCCTATAG